CACAAGATACTTGTGAGGAGGCAGGGAAGATGATCGTTTCTCCACTTTACAGCTTAAAAACTGAGTGTTAGATCAGTTATGATTCACCCAAGTTTATATAACAACTACGTAATGGATCTGAGACTAGAAAAATGTTGTCTTTTCTGTTGTAATTCAATTTGTAAAAACGTACCAGGCTGCCTCAAATCAATCTGGCAGGGATATGGAGAATGAACTGCCATGAAGGACTCAGGCTAGGTAGTAATCCAGGTGATAAGAGTGTAGATAGTGGTTCTCAGCTGGAGGCAACTTGATTTCCCTCTGCTTTCACCCAGGCAACATTTGGCAATGTCTGGAGACATTTTTGGAAAACACATTTGGGGTGGGGGGCTGTTGGCTTTTAGTGGGTAGAATACATGGATGTGCAAAACATCCTATAGTGTACAGGACAGCCTCTCCCCCGCCTCTCAGCAAAGAATTATTCAGAGTGTCAGAGGGAATGGAGAGATAAGAATCTTACAGAGGAAAAATGACTTGTCAGGTTGGTGAGTTACTGAATATGTAAAAAGCAAATGAGATGGGTAAAAATGAAATGCCACCTGAAGTCCAAGTAACTGAAAGAGAAAAGTCATGATAGAAAACTAATATGGGTAGGAGAATGTCTTTTGATTTTGAGGTGACCCTTGGCCTCAGACATGTTGAGTATGTGTTGTTACATTTTCTACAAATACAGTGGGCAGAAGTGATCTTAAGATGGACGATACAAGTTTTGAATTAACTACAGCCATATCCTTGTCACATTTGCCATTGGAAAACCAGATTCAAGTGTGAGGTTCTAAAGGCGAAGGCAAGAAACTGTCACCAGCTGGGAGGCCTTTGTATAAATGTCTGGGGTGGTAGGGAGAGGGTCATGCTTATAGTGATTGTATTTTTAAAATATATTTAAAAATTCAGAAGCAGTTTTTCCCCACAATTTTTTTTTTCCAAGTTGAGTGTGGCATATTCTTTATGTATTACATCTCTGTGGGCACATTTATTTATACTAATTAGTAAAAACAATAAAACAAGGAACAAAGTCCTACTCAGACTCTACCTATGAATTTCTTTTTCTGGCATCTCATTCACCAGCATGTCAGTAGTCTACTTTGCAGCCTTGGCTGATCACATCACGAAGACCCTTTGACATTGCAGTCTTGAAGTGTTTTCTTGGTTCCTGAAGGAATGTGAAATTCTATTCATTAGTTTAGCTTTACAAGTTATACCTCATCGAGTCCAGTGCTCTGTCCAGTACTTGATTCCTCCCATGTTATCTCTAGGGCTACACTTAGTTACCCCAAACATGATGGCTTCAAACAGCAGAAATGTATTCTCTCACAGTTCTGCAGGCCAGAAGCCCAAAATCAAGGTATCAGCAGGGCCACACTTAATTTCCTGACCCTTTTCAGCTTCTGGAGTCTCCAGACACTGCCTGGCTTGTGGCTGCATAACTCTCATCTCTGCCTTCATCTCCATATGACCTCTCTTCTCGCTAATCAAGAATGATCTCAGCCCAAGATCCTTAATTATTATTTTAGATCCTTTCTGCAAATAAAGTCACATTCACAGGCTCCAAGGATTAGGATATGGAAAAACTGTCTTGGAGGCCACCATTCAACCCACCACACCCCCTGGATACATGTCTGTGTTTATTGCCGTCCCAGATTGGCTGCCTCTACCCAGGATCTTCTGTATTTTGAATAACATGGTGAAATCAATCTTCCTATAACATATATGGTTCACTTTTGTTCTCCCTGCTTGAAGCCATGCTGAACAAACCCAACTCTTTTGCTCTCTGAAAGTCCTTCTTTTGTGTTCTTGAGACTTCAGTCCTGCAGGCCAAACATCTCTAGTTTCTTCAGCCATTTTTCTCAGTACTGTAACTCCCATTCCCCTCATCTCCTGGGAGTGCCTCTCTAAAGGATTCAGAATCAATAGAAAGAATACTGAGTTTATCATTGAAGACCTAATGCTGATGTCGTGTTTCTTCACTTTCAAGTAGATGAACAAAGCAAAGTAATGTCTTTTAAATATCAGCACTGAACTGTTCTACTTCACTGCATGTTTTTATGAGTTCTTTGTAAACATAACCTATAAGTAAAGTTACAAGCGTTTATCTGTAAACTTGTAAAATACTTTAACCCTCAGAATTAAACAGAGGTCTCGCTGTATAGTCTAATCTAGTACAAAGCAGTTGTCACTAGCATGTGCCTAGTTTAGCTGCTCCGCTCCTGTGCTTCCAGCCTGGGCCACATTCTCTTTTTGGTAGTCATGTCACAACTCTTAACTCGTACTGAAATGTCTGTATACTACTAAAGCACTCCAATTTTTAAAATATATAATCTTTTTTATTGAACAAATATTCATTGAGTATCTACTAGTAACGGTGCTAGACACTTGACCAGAGAGGCAACAGGAGGATAAAATAAAACCTGTTTCTGCCTCCTGGAGCTTACAGTGTACTAAGGGACACACATGAACCAGATAATCACACCATCAATATAAATTTGCAGTCTGAGACAAACCGGAAGAAGAAAGGGTTGCACACTGACCTATGCCAATTTGATGGCTCACAGTAATGAGTTTTCTTTACAGTAGATCAAAGTGGGCTCCACTGATGAAAGTTGGGGGTTTCTGGGTCTCCCTACCCACCGCCTCACCACCAGGGGTCAGATATAGTAACAGTAGCCTCAGATGGAACTCTGTCACACATATAATCTTTTTATTGCTTTCTAATTCATTGATTATCACCAGGTAGAGTCAGTCACTTAATTTTCAAACAATTGGGAAATATACTTTAATTTAATTTGAAAATAAGTTAATCTTGGCCATATTTGTTGGATGTAATAATAAATTATATTGAATATCCATAGGAAGTGTATAGTTCATCCTCCAGTTGTTTAATGTAATACTTCTTTAATGAGTCCTCTTTGTGCTGTTATGGACATTTTCCTGTTTGTACTCGAATGACCACATTCTTATCTAAACCTTCTACAGTTTGCTAATGTGACTCTCCAACTATATTGAAATAAAATGCCTTTGATTTCAGTCTTACATCCTGATGGTAATAGGTTTTACCCTTTAAAATGGATTCTGTTTTTCAAGATCACTTGATAAAACTATAAATCCATGTGCTTTTGCAAATTAAGATAAATGCATGATCGTTATAAGTTATTATATTATTCAACTTAAAGTGACCCATTAAGAATTTGAAAGCTCTGTGAAATGTAAATTCTGTCCTAATATTTGATGTGTCTTAGCATTGCCTAATTTGAAGTTTGAACCTCTGGCTCTAATCACTCTTTAGATTTGTTTTCATGTTACAAAAAACACCTTGTGGCTCTTCCTGTAAACAAATCTCAGTGAAGTCATAACAAAGTCAAGTGTTGTAAGATCAATTTTCTAGGAATGTAGAGGCTTGTTTGTCAAGGTGCACTGATCTCAGTTTGCCCTTCCAATATATGGAACAGTTTCTGAATTTACAACTTGAAAATGGTCATAGCTGTGGATTTGGAGAGCTATTTAGATAGTCCGGAAGTGATGGCTTATAGAGTAACAACAGCACAGGACACAGCTTAAGGACAGTGGCAGATTCCTCTAAAGTGCTCCATTGTGTCTTTACAAACATGTCGTTTCTTTGCTGGCTACTCCATATGAATCTGAATGCTTCCCAGAATACCTTGTGAAAGCCTGGTTTTGCACTTTTGTTTATCCTGAGCTAGTTATGCTGTCATTTTTATGCATCTCAATTTGGGTCCAAACCACATGTCCTAGTTTATTTTTTACTGTTTCTATGAAATGCAAAGCTGTATCTTCTTGTTGGGTGTGTGAAACTTTTGGTGTTCCTCTAGTAAAGAATAAATACAGTCCGTGACCTTACTCACTCCCCATTGCCTATCATTTTACAATGCAAAAAAATTGCCTTTTGGATCCTATGTAACCAGCAAATCTTGAGAATTTCATAGAAAGCTTTTAAATTGTATTTTCTTCTATTTTTTCTAGAAAACAATCCCCAGGCTTTATAGAATGTATCTTTTCTTCAGACAATCGAAAGATGATTGAAATTAAAATATACAGTAACCAGTCACCTACCGTTCATGTCAATAAGATTGTTTTATTCTTGAGAGTAATAGTACATTGCAAAACTAAGAAAAACGTTTTCTTCTTGACCCTATCTCAGTAGTGATTGATCAGTTTGTAGAGAAATCTGTTTCAGATGATAAAATGTATGCTTGATCTTGAGAATCAGAAGAAAATGACTGAACTATAGGTGTACTCTAACCTTTCCTTCTTCATTTACGAGAGTAAGGAAAGGGGAACTGTGAGGGCAGCTGATTCCCTAAAATAACTCTTCATCTTTGTAAAGACCCAGGTCTCATGCCTTTGTTGCCTCTATGAGACAGGTTAAAATGGAAAGGCGTTTCTGAAAGCTGTGGCAGGACCATATTGCCTTAGAGAAGTAATAGCCAGTGTTGTAAATTGGAGTGAATTTTTGACTGAATTTTGACTCATATTGGTTCTGTTGACTTGACTGGTCACCTTAGAAGAAATAAAAATCTTATATAAGTCTGGTTTTTTCTTCTTCTTCTTAATCTTTCTCTCTCATTTAGTGGAAGTTGAGATGTCAGACCCAAGATATTAGAGGGAAAATATTCTGGGATTTTCATCTTGGCTAAGGTGGCAAGTTTATGATATGTAAATAGGAAGCAGTGGCCTCAAACTCCTTGGGGCTGGTGGGTCACTTTCTTACACATTAGTTCCTTGTTCTGTGACCTATTAGCTTTTTCCTTTGAAAGAAGGCAGCCATTGTTCTGACTTGATGAATGTTATGAAGATGTCCGTTGATTGCAGTGACTATAACTAAATGATTTAGTCCGGTTCTTAGATGTTTATGCTGTATCTAAGAAACTTCAGTCTCTGCCAACAATTTGAAGGTTGTATTTATTCTGCTTTGGAAAACTTCTGATCCTTCTTTACCTCTCTAGGTTTCCACTGTATCCAAAAGGAGGGGAGAAGTTGCAATTTGATTATGGTGTCTATCTTCTGAACAAAAATATAGCACAGGTAAGTAACTCTGCTGCACCCCCTCTTCTTTTCCACGCACAGTCTGCTTTCTTTCTTTCTTGATACATAGACTGCAGCTGTGCCTGCTGTTTTACCAGCTGCATGAGTACTGTAATGCACAGTCTTTTTTTGACCACAGTCTTTTTCTGTGCCATTATAATGACTGCAGAGAAGCAGTGGGAACACATTGGATGATTCCTTCTAAACTCAGAATCTCTTTTCTGTGTTTTTACTTGCTGGGAGACTCTCCTTGAAAGTGTGGGTTTTATACTGTTTCGCCTCTGCAGCTTGACGGGCAATAACTTTCTTTTCTTAGCCGACTCCTAGGGACTCATTTTGCATCGTTGTGCATGGAGTCAAAGATGAGCACCTTTGCAAGTCCTTCATGGTCTCCTCATTGTATTATTCAGGGCCCAAAGGAAAAGACCAATCACATGGTCCTTCCAATCCATCTTGGATTTTTGTGGCATTCTCAGCATTTCACTTAGTATCCCATTGAGTAATGTCTTTCCACATGCCTCAGTAAGACCATCAGATGCCTGGGTGTGTATTTTCCTGAAAGAAATGTGCAATATTTCTTTAGCACTTTTGGCTGTGCTTCAAGAGGTAGACATTCCATAAATTTTCTGACTGTAAAGGACGACTAGCTTCCTCCGTCTATTTTTATAAATAACAAATGCTTTGTTTTGGACATCCTTCCAATTACAATATCACAGGGATGAGTATTCACAACTTGGCTATTATTTAAAGACATTATCAGCTGTATCCTCAGACCTTTCCGTTTTACAGAAGTAAAAAGATTTGTGATTTTTTTTTTTTTTTTTATGAGCCTGAGTTTCCTATTATCTATATGAATCTGAAGACTTTGCTGGACAATTCCCTTATGCATGTCTGATCAGTCCAGAAGTATTCCTCTGTATAGTATTTTCTTTGCCTTTCTTTCTCTCAACCAACCTCAGTTTAGTGGTGGGTTTTTTCTTTATTTTTATTATTATTTTCCTTTTCCAAACTCAGCCAGATGTCAAGTTTGCAGTCTTCAACTTACCATTTGCCTTAGACCCTCACACTCAGCACCCTCTTGATTATATTGCTTCCACTGTTACTTCCATTCCAACTCCAGGCAAGCAGCCTCGCTCACAGTCTCTGGCCCATGATTCACCCTTCCATGGGCTGTTCTTCCCACAACTGAGGCTTTCTCATGCTCCATTTTTGGCAGATAAGTATTTCAGTCAAAGAAACAGGACATTAATTCCAAGGCTGCCTAGCTGATCACAGTTATGTCTTACCACAGAAAGGGCATTGCTTAGACAAAACTGGTACCCAGACTAGGACTGCATGGAAAGAGAAGTCAATTAGCAACTTAGAGAGCACCCCCAGGAAGTTGGCCTTGGTGGAAAGAACACATGAATACCACACGATCCACAGTCTGAGAGCAAACTTGGCATCATTTAGTAGAACTCAGTTCTGATCCAAGTTCAGAACTTCTCTCATGTCCTGTTTTCTATTTTTTGAGCTACACATGTAGGCCCTAAGGTTGGAAGCTTCCAGGTGAAACCCGCTCCTGTCAGTGCCTGGATTTCCTCATAAATCCCAACTTGAAACACATACACACATGTACACAGATGTATACATGCATGCACATAACCACTTCTTTCTTCTCAAAGGCCCAGTACAAATATCAAAGCATGGTATAAAGAATTGTTGAGAGGCCGGCTCGGTGGCTCAGCCTGTAATCCCAGCACTTTGGGAGGCTGAGGCGAGTGGATTGCCTGAACCCGCTGGTTCGAGACCAGCCCAGGCAACTTGGTGAGACCTCATCTCTACAATAAAATAAAAAATAGCTGGGTGTGGTAGCGCACATCTGTAATTCCAGGCTACTCAGAAGGCTGAGGCGGAAGGATCACTGGAGCCCACAGGGTTGACACTGGGGTAGCCGTGAGCGTGCATGCCATTGCACTCTGGCCTGGGAAAGGAGCGAGACTCCAACTCAAAAAAAAAAAAAAAAAAACAATTGCTAAGAATATCCCAGTTGCTTTAAAAGCAAGACCAAGATGGTAGCTGACTGTTTACAGTAGAAACATACTAAAGTCAACCTTTCACGTCAGACTCTTACTCTGGCACCTGTCTGGTCCCCACTTGAAATCACTTCCCAAGTGACCTCTGACTTTATGCTTAACTGAACCATGGCTGCAAGTATGCTTAACTAGTTTTATTTCTCTGTTTAAAACATGGATTGCTTTTAGTAGTTTTGTGTTATCTCCAACTTTATACTCTTTTTGAAAATTGAGAAATTACATGTTTTTGTGTGTATGAGTGTGTATAAAAATCAATAGGTTAACCACTCAAAATCCATAGGGAGCAAGTATCCTGCTCTCTAGCGTTATTTCTTGTTTGTTTTTAGTCACCGTTGTGGCAGTTTTAAAAGGAAGGGACAGCCGGGCTCGGTGGCTCAGCCTGTAATCCCGCGCTTTGGGAGGCTGAGGTAAGTGGATCGCCTGAGCCCGCGGATTCGAGACCCACCTGGGCAACTTGGCGAGACCTCATCTCTACAATAAATCAAAAAAATTAGCCGGGTGTGGTAACGCATGCCTGTAGTTCCAGCTACTTGGAAGGCTGAGGCGGAAGGATCGCTGGAGCCCAGCAGGTCGAGGCTGCGGTGGCCGGGAGCGACCACTGCACTCCAGTCTGGGCAACAGAGGGAGACTCCAACTCAAAAAAAAATAATAATAATAAACAAAAAATAATAATAAAAGGAGAGGACAATAAACTTATTAAAAACAGATTTTCTTCTATTTCAAAATTTATTCAGGAAACTCCTTTTGAGCATTTAGAAAGAAACTTTTAGCAAATCTGTGACCTTTAACTTTTTGTTGCTTTGGTTCTGTCTGTTCTATCTCTTGGTATTTCTTAAGGAAGTCTTCATTCTGACTTTGCCCTTACTGCCATCACTTTTTCACATTTTGATTTGTAACAAATCAAAGAACATTAATTATTATGGCTCTTAACCAAGTATTATAGCAATAAGACATTTTTAGCTTCTGAAGGTTTCTTTTTATATACATAGATACTAATACATGTTGTCAAAGAGGAGTTTGTCTTCTCAGTCAGTCTCATATGTCTGCCATCTCTGGAGATGTGAACGAATTCTACTATTAAAATGGCCTCACCTCGGTAATTTATAAGCTACGTTAGTGGAGGTGGATGAAAGCACTGGCATGTGTTGAGGTGCCAGAGAAAAGGAGTGAAGTCATTTAATACTGCATCCATAACGTGGCTAAGGATTTGAATAGTCAATAGGACCTTTCATCACAACCAGAAGTAGTAGTAAAATCACTTTTTTAGAAGAGGAAATGACAGAACTTAGTAATATTTGTTACTTCAGTATTTGGGATCCGTCCAGCCCAAGTTTTGAAAGCACAGGCTTAGAAAGACAGGCCTTCAAGTAGAAATCCTCAAGTGATGTTTGAAGGGCCAAGTGCATAGGTGAGGCCTGCCTGCCCTCTTTCTGTCACTCCTGTCTCAAGGTGTGTGTGCATGTGCTGGATTAAGCAATGAAAGTGAGTACAGTAAAGCCAAACGCCTTGTTTTCAGTGCCATTTGCTAACATTCGTCAAGCACCAGCCCCTTTGGTTAGAAATGGCCTTCCTTGTTGGTGAGCCTGTAATGCTATAGGAATGGGCCTGTCCAAAATCAGGTGCAGTATAGTTGAAACTGATTTTTAAAACCACATCCTGCCATCATTGTCACTTTGTAAGTACATTATGTTAGAATTGGTGTAGAGAATAGTAGTTAGCCCTTAATTCCCAGAACATAAAAAGTAGTGAAACAGAAATTACAGTACTTTGACCTTACATCTGTGAAGAGCCTTACGGTTTGCAAAGTTCAGGCTATATATTGATATACTTCTCATCACTTCCCTGCAAAATAAAAAAGGTGGATAATGTTAAATGGATTTAAGACATTTTGGGTTTTGACAATGTGTCACTCCAGTGTGTTCTCACATAATTTGGTAGGCTTCGCAGAGAGCCCCTTACTTTCATGGACATCATTGTTCTATATATTTCCATCCTAAAAGGGCACCAAATCAAAGATGACACTCCCAGATAGAAAAGGAGCTAAAAGTTCCTTGAGAGTGTGTACAGTGACTATTTGGTGCATCATGGTATTTCCACTAGCAAACACACTGCCAGAAGCACTAAGTTATAAAGGCATTAATAATGAATGATTGGTGACATAGCACCATCACACAAGTTAAAAAACTGAGATCTAGAAAACGAAGTGTCTTGGATGGATAAAAAAAAAAAATTGTGATACACACACTGGAATACTATTCAGTCTATAAAAAGGAGGTTATACGGCCATTTGCAACAACATGGATGAACCAGGAGGAAATTATGCTAAGTGAAATAGCCATAGTGTCACTGTGTGATGTCACTTAGATGCAGAATCTCTTCTTAAAAAGTCAGAGGAACAGAGAGTAGGACAGTGGTTACCAGTGGGGTGAAGGGGAGGAAATAAGGAGAAGTAGGTCAGAGGGTACACGTTTTCAGATAGATTGAATGAATAAATCTGGAGATATAATATACAGAATGAGGATGACAGTTAGTAATATTATATTGTTCACAGAAAATTTTAGGTAGATTTTATGTATTTTTATCACACAAAAATGAATATTAATTAGTTTGTTGTAATCATTTCTCTATGTATATCAAAATCTCGTGTATACTTTCAAAACATGTGGTGCACCTTAACTATATACAATATGAAATAATTTTTTAGAAAAGTTAAATGACTTGCTTAAAATGTATTAACTAGTTTATTCAACAGTTGAGCGTATACTTTTGCTGTATATGCTGAGTTAGGTTGCACTGAGGAGAGCAGTGAATAGGACGTACATGACCCCAATCCTTGCCTCATTAATAAGCTAGACAGAAAAGGACAAATATTGTATGATTTCACTTATATGAAATCTCTAGAGTATTCGTAGAGACAGAAAGAAG